TGTGTGTGTGTGTGTGTGTGTGTGTGTGTGTGTGTGTGTGTGTGTAGAACAGTCCGACGCGCCCATGACGAAGTGTATGATCGCTGGAGATGTCAAGACGAGAGTGTTGCTGTTGTTTGCAGAAGAACATGTTTTGTTAACACCTCTTGAAAGCATTATCTGGGAGGGTTCACCGCCATGTGTAACGTGGACGGCATGCATGTGAACATACCTAAAACGAAAAGCCTGTGCTTTCTCGTTCTCCTTCTCCTTGTCGTTCTCGTTCTCATTGCTCTTGCTCTCCCAGATAAATTAAGAAAAAGCGGAGCAGAAGGAGAAGCTTAAGCACCTCGGTGTCGTGTTTGCTGGTGATGGAAAATTTGAGGAAGAGATTGACCGGTGAATTGGAGTAGCCAGTGGCGTTCTGCGTGAACTAGAATGATCCACTGTAACTAAATTAGAGCTCAGTGTGCAAACTACTTTCTCGGTATTGAAGTCGATCCTTATCTCAATTTTTGCCTATTGTCATAAATCGCGTACGGACAATAACTGAAAACGTTCGATCCCTGGTACAAGGTGAAGAAATGGGCCTTGTAAGACGAGTCGCTGGTCGTGTGCCTCTCGTAATTATCTGGAATTCAGAAATATGCGAGAGCCTTGATGTGCTTCCGCTTGAGATTTCAAACTGAGAAAGTGGAGCTGCGATGGTTTGAGCACCTGTTGTGAATATCTCTAGAAAGAAAGACTAAGCAACCGATACTTGCGTAGCCGCTCGGGCAAGACCCACGGGGCGGCCGAAATTAACCTAATACAATTGTGTGATATGAGTTTACTCTAGAATGTGATTGACTTCCGCCAAATCTCAGACTCTGACGTAGGTTCGGGAACGTTGGAGGCACTGTCTGGTGCGAAAGGAGACGATGAAAATGAAGCTAATTGTCGTTGAAAGTAACGTGCAAATTCTGCTATTTTCTGTCCAAGATGAACGATTCTACAACCATGGCGAGATAATTCTGGCTCTTGTTTCATTGATGCGATCACAATGCTGTCAGCGTTCCTATGGGTCATTTCTCCACGGGATTATTCTTTGTTTTCTCTTCATTCGTCATGTTGTAGGAATTTAGTGATATGGAACTACCTTTTATTGAAAATCAGTGTTCCTCCTTACGACGTAGTCAGCTTATCGTAACCATCCTTCTTGTGCGTCGTTGGCAGCTATTCAGAAAAGCATCAGCACATTCGTGCAGAATAGGCGAAGACCTAATAAATGGATAACATTCCAAAGTGAATTGGTGAATTGCAGTGATGGTTATTTTGCTTAGTGATTATGGCAGCCATGAAGGCAGTCAAGAACTAAAATCATCTGCTATCGAAGACAGAGTCATGTAAAAATAAATTTTATTATACTCTTAAAGTAAACCTACTTAGGAAAAGATAAAGTCATACTTTTCGTACAATTCAGGTAACATCAGTGACAGCTACTACCAGTATTGGTTTCTGTGGAAGGTAGCGTATGCGAACAGTTTCCATCATGCCATCTGTCATGTCAAACGAAGTGAAATGAATTGCATTTACAGTTTTGCAGTCGATCTCTAAATAAATTGTA